TGACAAAACCTTGTCGAAACGTTCTACATTTGCTGTTATGTTAAACTTATATTAAAGTTTTTCTTCATTACCCATTCAAGCCGTCTCCAGCCATTATTAGTCTCAAAGTGGGTTCTTCGTCATCGAATTTGTAACCATCTCTTATTTCGAAATGATAGACTAAAGGAAGGCAACTAGTCAACATTACCCATTCAAGCCGTCTCCAGCCATGATGAGTCTCAAAGTGGGTTCCTCGTCATCGAATTTGTAACCATCTCTTATTTCGAAATGATAGACTAAAGGAAGGCAACTAGTCAACATTACCCATTCGACTACAGAGAATGTAGCAACTGATCAGCACCCACTTTAGTAGTTATTGAAGCTGTTGGTCACCCAAAGAATGTCACCTCAGTGGAGATCAAAGGATACCGCTGAAGGGTTACATAACTATTACGTAATATATACACCTGGGTGTTATATAACTGTTATGTAATATATAAAAGGTCTGTCTAAGGGAGGAGGTGGGGGCAGAGACGATGACCTTATAGTTTCACTAAGTGGAACCAAAGAGGGAGTTGCTAGGGTCACGAAGTGGCCTCAGAGGGCACTGCTATCTTGGGGAGGAAATGATATCATAGTTCGATACCAGAGGGTCTGTTACTATTGGCGGAGTCTGTTAATAAGGTTCTATAGGCGAACGATGTTACCAAGGTTCTATAGGCGGATAGTCTTACTAGTTTTACAATAATGTATCTTTTATAAAGGCAGACAGTGTTTCTATAATGAACAGTGTTACTATATTTCTGTAGGACTGCATACAGATTTCAACTTGTCTCAACTTATGATTATATTTTTTATTTATATATTTAGCTGTATTACGTGTTTTTCTATAGGAGGATAGTGTTACTATGGTTCTACAAGTGGATGATGCTACTAAGGACAATTTTAGCATAGTTTATAGAACAACTGATTAATCAACAGTATTTTACCTTAGCTGCCTAGGATACTTTTTACAACTATACATCACTTTCTGTATAAAAAACTTCACTAATTCATTATTTCCAAATTTTTGCTTCTTCATATAATCAAACATTTTACAATTTCTGAAGAGGGTGGATTTCTTCTGATAACATCTGTAAATATCCTGCAATGGTTTAATACAATCTTACTGTTTCACTGGCTTGGCTTTATGATTTAATTATGCTATTCCTCTAACCATTAACTATATTTTTTATTATTCTTGACAAAATATTTCATTTTACACGTGTTACTTTATAGTTTTCACTTACATATGTTTTACAAAGGCGGATGGTGTTACTAGAGGGACTGTATTATTAAGGTTCTATAGGCAAATGGTCTTACTAGACGTATTGTGTGTGTGTGATTTGCAAAGGCAGATGGATGGTGTTACTATACTTATGTAGGACAGCATACAGATTTCAATTATGCCCTGATAAGATGGCCAAAGTAGGAATAGAAGACCAGCTATGCTATTTGTAAAAAGCATAGCTCTTTGAGGTGTGAAAACACATTGCCGAGAAGGATGTTGAGTCAAACTAGGAGCTATGCAACATATTGTGAAGGATGTTGTAAACATCTGAGCTAAAGTAGAAGTTAATAGAACTGCGCCAAAACTCTAGTTTAGATATGTGCACAAAGTCTTGATGATGCACAGGGTTCAACATTTTCATGCATAGTCCTGGGGTGAGGCATAGACCAGACACCCATTGTCTAACTTAGATTGAATGAGGGCACAAAATATGTTTAGCATATAACATCTATTTGCTCCCCAGAGGTGGAAGAGAAGACATGGAAAATGTTCAATGTATTTGAACACGATAATCAATAATCAAAAATAATTCTCTTTAATAATCCACACATAAAGCAGCTTAACATGTTCCTCTGCCTTCTTGGCCATCAAAATATATGGATATCTTGTTTCTAGTTTTGTTACCTTGAGAAGACTTATGATACCACCTGTACTTTTGAGATATTACAAGATCTTCATTTATATTGGTTATAGAGTCATTTGCCCATTTTTATTCATAATGTTTTAGCAGAACGGTAATTTCAATTCTTCACGGGATGAACATTTTCCGTAACCTTCACATACAAGCTCAGAGTACATTAGAGCTATGCTTTGAGTTTTTACACTTTCTAACAGTAAGATCAATGCCATCACCGAACAATTTTGTCCTACAGTTGGAAATAGTCTCCATGTCATTGACTTTCGGATTTTTTTCAGTCATCAAATAGTTCCAAATTTTCATTCTCTAAAACCACTTGTTTGTATTTTTGCTAGCATCAGCTATATTGCATCCTGATCTCGATCTCAATCTGGGAGGTGCACAAAATGCTGTATCTCAATCAAAGTTCATAGATTTCTCTTTGATAATAAAGGTGAATGTGCTGTAATGTGGAAACAGCATTCTCCAAGACTGTTAGCGATTCTCTGTACATCAGCAACTTTCTTACCATGGGGCTGCAAGACTAAAAAC